TCAAATTCTATTGAGTTATTGTAATTCAGAAGCATGTTTTACTCATTGAGCTGCAGCTTACTTGTAGTTGTTCTAATATTTTCAGGTATAATTTAATAAAATCAAAATGTGTAGAATAAGTGAAAATGTGTATCATAGACGTGACGTGCCGAATGAAAGATATTTAATTCATTTTATAAGTTTCAATAGCTATTTTAGCAAATTAGAGATAGATTTAAGAAATGAAAAATTAATTTACCATCTAACAATCTGTTTCCGCCTCGTTAATTTGAGTCTCCAGACCGGGTCCTGACATAAAAAATACTTCAATGCTTGCTCCCAATCGGGTTATTCTTCAATGTACAAATGTCCATCAAAATAAAGGATATTGATCTTAACCTTGCAATCCAGGGGCGAAATCATCCTTAATTTTTAGGGGGTGACAAACTTATAAGTAAAAGTGTAGAGATTTTTTTTTTCATAAATATCGTTACAACCAATATTTGTCCCGAGAGCGACCTCAATTTGTTCACATTCTTGATCGTTGCACGCTTTGCAGATGTGTCGGGGGTCCAAGGGGGCAGCACCCCCTGGCAGGTCTGGTCAAGTCGGGGGTCAAGGGGCAACGCGCCAACTCCCCTGTGGGGTTTCCGACACTGCCCCCGGGACAAATTTTTGTTGCAAGGAAAATTTTGAATTATTTTACTATTTCTCTTTGTATTTGGTTATTCGTTTTCTAACAATAATATATCTACACAATGTGTTTAATTATGCTGGGTCAATTGCCTAAAGAACATAATATTTTAAAACTTTGAGGGGGGACCCTTGTAATAAATACTAAAAAATACATAAAATGGGACAAATTATCCAATGAATTATATAATAAGGATTTTCTTTTTCTTTTTTTGAGCTTAAGGTGGATCCACCCTTGTTGCAATCGCTATAGATCCAATTGATTTGGTAACATCAATAGATAAGTGGTTCCTCGAACAATCATTACTTGTTCAACTATGAGTCGGAGAAAATGATTGGACAATGACGTTCTGATGGATCAAATTGTTGGGGAACACTGCCAAACATAGGCATGGGCGACTCAATAATTATTGATGTCTTATGAGGCCTATAAGAAGAGAGAATTAAGATCCAAGCCATTGGATTGTAGGGCAAATCTTGTGAGAGCTTGAGATTTCTCTTCTTCATCTTCTCCTTTCTCTATCTTCGTTTTCATTGCCCTCTCAACTATGGTTATAACCAACAAATTAGTGCAACATTATAGAAGATGTAATTGAGGATCGTCGAACAACCCTAAATCATATTTTATTTTGTGCACTCTCTCTCCCTCTCTCTTCTTCCCTCCCATATTCCAAGTAAAACATCCTCTCTCTTCAACCCAAGTAAATAGGCTCGGAGACTCCCACTTTACATTGTTATTTTGATAATAATGATAATAAGTATCACTATTATGACTAACTGGAATTACAATGATAATTGACTAGTGATGTTAACAGTAAATACATGACCAAAAAGCTTTAGAAGGATTTCTTATACCTGTTAACAAACTACTTAAGCCGATATGGTGCAAGTGCTGAACTGGTTTGGGTTTATTGAGTGGGCCTATTAGGTGTAATAGGGCTCAAGTTAGTGAAGAGGGGACTTGGGTTTAGTCGGCTTGGAATGCTGTTGGGTTCGGCCGTAGGTAAGGTAAAGGGGCTTCGACTAGCTTGCATATAGGAAGAGTGCACTGGATGAGACAAATGATATCGGCATAGTAGAGGTAGAGGCGGCTTTGGCTTCGGTCAGGTAAGCTTGGAGAGGTCGGGTAGGAGAGGTCGGTTCAACTAGGGCAAGGATTTGGTCGTGGAAGCAGAGGGAGGATCAGAGGAGGGAAATGGTTCGGCTAAGGCAATGATTTGGTTGTGGAAGCAGAGGGAGGATCGGATGGCTTTGGGTATGAGGTGCGATAGCTACTCGCGTACAGGAGACCAAGATCTCACGGCAAGGTCTGGCAGCAGGCGGAAGAGCTCGTGAGGTCCCGTCGGGGTGGGGCTTGGAGGAAGAACAGGGCTTGGACGTTGGATGAAAGGCTTCGGTTGTTAGAAGAGAGCTGCGGGAGTTTTTGGTGTCGAGTGTGGAAGTAGAACCCAGCCTCTTCTCTTGTCGCTACTTTAATAGCGAGAGCAGGAGTGAGCACGGGATAGAGCCCATATCCAAGCACGCGTGAGAAGACAACAATCCTGCGCCGTTTGCAGAAGGATGGGGAACTGTATACGCGGCGAGAGCAGCGATTCGAGTGGGATTTTGACAGGGTATGGGCCTTGGATCGCAACAGGTAATCATTTTTAGTGATTTCTTTATTTTGATTTTATCCCGCCGCTTTTTTTTTGTTGTTGAGGTCCACACGATTGGGCCGCACATTAGATTTATGCCGCAATTGAAAACATCAAAATCACTTAATGACTTGTCGTCGGGCATAAGGATTCTCCTTAGTTGGTGTCATGGTTTTAGGCTGAAATCTCGGCTCTGCACTTGGCCTGGCAAAACTCCCTGACGGACTATTCTCAGGTTGCGCTATATTTTCTTTAGCAGTTGGAATGATTGGTCTAGTGGCATCAGTGCTTTGTTCGTGGAATGGACTTCTGGTAGGATTACTGCGGGAGTGTCTGTCCAACTGCATCTCCGCCTTAAGCACAAAGTTAAACTCCTCCGATAATAACCAAATCGAATTGAGCTTCAGCTTGTCTCGAATGGTGTCCTTCAAACCATCAACATATCTAGCTACCAACTGACTGGTCGATTTGTTAAGGTCATTCCAGGCACCTAACATGTAGAACTCCTAGGTGTACTCGCTCACGAAGCGACCACCTTGCGAGCACCGTTGATATTTCAAGTAAAGCAATTGCTCATAGTCCGTAGGGAGAAATTATTACATCCGGTCAAAAACCGAACGGTCCGAATGTATACCGAGCAATACCGAGTCCAAAATACCGAGTTTTATGTGACGTGGTGCGTGGTTATTGGTCTCTGAACGCATTCGGACACCGGATGTAATAATTGCTCGTCCGTAGGAAGGAAATGCGCTCGCAATAATTTTTTCATGTGTGCCCAGCTGCGCACATCGGCCTAACCTTCCCTTCTCCGTGATTGATTTAGATACGACCACCACACACTCGCGCCGCCTTTTAGTCGATAGGCAACATATTTGACTTGCTTTTCGGGTTCAATCTCCATATACTCAAAGAAATTCTCCACAGCTCTCTCACAATCTAGATAGTCCTCAATGTGTAATCGTCCTTCAAAGAAGGGTATATCAAGCTTCACTCGAAACTCGCCGCAGTGTCGGTCATGACCCATTGGTCGCCGATATTGCGGTGCAGCAATGTCTCCTTCAAATTCATGAAAAGGCTCTGGGATGTAGTTCCCACGGTCGTCTTCAGAGTCTGATAACTCATGGAAGATGGGTGCTCGCATTCGGTCACGAAAGCCATGAACCCCGTGCCTATTTGGTGTGTCCTCATGAATATAGGGATGTTTTCTCCGGTTGGAGCTCCCGCTCCATACCCTCATCGTGGCTCCATCGCCAGGCGATCGAGATTTTCGGCCATCTCATCCGGCCATTTCACAACGTCAGCATGTGCTACCCAGAGGGCCTCCAGGCTGTGATCCTTGTCACTCATCACACGCTTGCTACTCTCTGCCATCTCTCCAAACCGCATGCTCTAATACCAGCTCTAATGTGGTATGCAATGGGAGAAACAAGTTAGAACAAAATGCAAACAGAGAACCAGAAAGCTTCTTCTATATTTTGATATTGAAAAACTTTCTTCTCCCAAACCGAAGGAAGATAAAAGGTTTACTATCATGAGGCGGATAGTCCCCATGCAGAAAATGGCTATACATGCAAAAAGTTCGCCAGTCCTATATTTACCTAAAGAAGCAATAGAGGTAGTGGGCAAACATTCTATAGCAGCAACTAAAGAAGTGTAAAATAAACTATGGTTATTATAAATAACTGATGCACCGCATCAGTATGCTACCACAGGAAATCTCCTTTAGGTGCTTTTTCTAATTTATTTGAATCTTCTAAGAAACTACAAATATCATCATGCTATTTATCTTCCTTAATAACACTTTCAAAGCTTTCAAATTGAATTGCCTCATAAAGCTTTAATAACACTTTCAAAAGCTTTCAAATTGAATTGTCTCATAAAGCTTTCCGAATTTACACAAATGTCATCTCACAGCCTTATTAAAAACCTTCTCTTTTGCATTCCTTCACCCCTCTTACACCACTATATCATCACCACATTAGTATTTGGACATTATCCGTATCAATGATCTGGTGGATCATTCATGATTGTTCATGAGACTTTTTCATTTTCATGAAAAAAAAAAAAAGATTCATGAATTTTTATTCTGAAATGCTTATATATCATGATCTATCCGCAGCTATAGGTTTGCATTTTTACCCAATATGGGAAGCAGCATCTGTTGATGAGTGGTTATACAATGGCGGTCCTTATGAACTGATTGTTCTACACTTCTTACTTGGTGTAGCTTGTTACATGGGTCGGAAAAAAAGGAGTAATCAGCCGTGACACGTTCACTAAAAAAAATCCTTTTGTAGCTAATCATTTAGCGGGAAGAATTGAAAAACTCCTCTGCTCTACCAACTGAGCTATCCCGACCATTTCCCGTGCATCATCCTAGCAGAGTACTTATATCTATGTCAATGAAAAAAAAACTAAAAAATAAAATCTTAACTTTCAGTTTTGCTACATTTAAATTTCTTTCCTGAGTGATATTTGTTGTCCATCATCTCAATCCATGCAATAAAGCTGCCCTCGAAGTATCATTGTCATATGAAAGCCTGAGCCGGCATATGCAGTAATGTAGAGACTAAAAATACAAAAATGTTGTAATATCTATCTGCAGTCTATCTAAAACTTCCCTCTTGAGGAACTTCTATAAAAATGGCATGCACATATTACGAATTCAAGAAACATTGTAACAGAAAAAGGAGGTTCAGAAATCAACTAATGAACACTTGCGACGAGCATTATTTTAAAGGAAAAACTACGTTAAGCAGCCTTACATGTATGAAACTTATCACTTCAGAATGTGATAATCACTTCCAAATTAAGCAGCCATCAAAACCCTCGGTCCAGCAGCAAAACGCATGCAAAGCGCAAAACATAAACTAAATGAAAGCATAACCTTGGCACTCAAGAACCTCACCACATCCAGACTTCTCACAATAACTTCCTCATGGACAACATTAACACCCCTCTTCACACCATCTTCAAGCTTCCACAACAGGAATTCAAGGAACGATCTTACAGACTCAAATGTCAATCTACCAGTCACATCAAGAACGAACTTTTTGTTGCTTGGAATTGCTAAGACTGATGAAACCCGTTCAACCCATCCGCTCCCTTCCTTGCTCATGACATCGGAAAACCCCTTCAGATTTTGAGGCGAACGTACTTGACTGACATCTTTCCCTATGTCAATGGATGAAATTGAATTCGTGCTAGTCAGCACCTCATGAGAAGTCTTAACCAGTGTTTCCACCGCACCATTGCAGACAGAAACCAAAACATCCTTGACCTGAGCCTCGTGCCTAGGGTTGGTGAGGCCGGAAAAGAATTCGTCATAAGTGTTAACCTCCATAGTCTTCTCAAGGTACACAGCCACAGCAGTTCCCACAAAGTGCTGGATGCTTTCCGCAATCAACTCCCTGCACTTTTCATCACACATTATATTAACCCATCTTGGCGCATAGCTAGAATCCATCCCATCTCCACCGGAATAAAAGGCCATGACCAAGTTCCTGGCAAAGCTCCCAACCATAACTGATGCGAAACCAGAGCCATTACTAGAGAACAGCTTCTCAAGAAGCCTGTCAGAGAATCCTTGTGAATCAGAAGTGGAGCCCATACCTCGGATGATCCCGACCGTCAGTGCCTCAGATACTCTTGAAATCGAACTCGACAACTCGTCGGATCTCGCGATTTTGGCGACTTGCTTAAGACTCGTGGGTATCTCGTCAGAGTCAGATTGTAAGAAGCGGTTGAGATCGCATGATACGACGCTGACGGCATCGGCAGCGGAGGAGATGGCCTCGGCGATAGAGACAAGAGCTCTGACGAATTTGGCGAGATTCCGGCGCTTGGAGGAGACAGAGGGGAGGTGGTAAACCCTGTAGGCTCCGTAGCTAGATAGGCCGGCGGCCGCTAGGAGGAGGATCCATCTCCTTCGACGAGGGGAGAAGGAAAGTAGCGTCTGGGTGAGACCGGCGGTCATCGGAGAGGGTTGATGGAGAGCGTCTTTGGTAGGTTAGGCTTCGAACTTTGAAGAAGCTAAGGGATGAGGCGGTGGAGGAGATAGGAAGGAGCGGTTGGATGGGCAGAATTTGAGAAGGAGAGTGAAGTAATTAAAATTTAAATAGAAGTAAATTTGTCCAATAATTTGACGCATGTGAGAAATTATTTTGTAAATTTAATTTATTATCCGGAGATCAATCAAAATATGTCACATCATCAATACTCAATACTGAGCGGAGGTTGTGTGGCACATTTTTATTGATCTCTGGATATTCGGCATCCACACATAATAATTTGTCACGATAAATTGATATATTTAGCTTATAGAGAGAGAGAAAAGGGGATGGTAGAGAAAGAAGACCAGGGAGAGAAATATCAGTTTAAATATTTATATTATTTTAAAAATGAGTGTGTTTAAGACTTAATTAATTTAAAATAGTATGTACATGTCAAAATTTATGCATCAATACAATATTATATCAACCACAGAATTTCATCAAGAAAATTTTTTAAAAAACAAATCGCAGAAAAATAAATTGCAGAAAATGAAAATTAGAATAAACACACCATAATTTTATAGTGGTTTCGTAAAACAATGACCCGCGTCTACTTACGGTAGTCCTCTTTAAGTATTGCACTAAACCTTTGATGTAGTGGATCGTCGGAAGTCGATACCTGCAAGAAGGATTTTGGGATCCCAATCCAGGGAAGAAGAAGAAACAAAAGCTCTAAGGCTTCAAATGGTATAATATTTCATCAATCAGCTTCATCCTTTACATTAGCCAACTATTTAAAGAAGAAAATAGAACTATCTAGACTAAGGAAGGTAAACTAGTCCTCAAGCATAATAAAAGCTAAGATGTTCCTACATCAACCTTTAGTGTATTTCCTTTAATCCTCACAGCTTGGCAAAGAAATCATTACAATCTTTTCACCAAACCGATGCGACAAAAAACCTCAACCTCCTTTTTCACCCTCCTGGTGAAGGTAGAGAACCCCGACCTCCTTTTTCACCCAATTGGTGAAGGTAGAGAACCCCGACCCCCTTTTTTACCCTCCTGGTGAAGAGAGAGAGAGAGCTTCAATGATCTTCGAACTGTTGATCTTCTTCCCAAACCAACCTAAGAAACCATACAAGACGCTAAGAGGAAATAGGGCAGAAGCTACTGTGTAAAAATTCCTTGCACTCTTTCTCCCTCGCACTCAATTTCTCATTTCTCCTTCTCAAAGCTCTCCAAGATCTCTTCTAAAAGCTCTCTTTCTAAAAAAACTCAAACAATTAAAGACTTGAAACAAGTCTAGTTATAGAGCTTAAATATATTGTTTCACAAAAGCCTTAAAATTTAATTCTGTCGACACTGATCGTACAACACGATCTAAGATCATACAGTACGATTAATTCAGATAACCCTGTTAATACTGTAAGAAGCTGTACAATTAGTTAAGATAATTGAGTTGCTCGTCCAGTAAAATATGAAACACTGTCCAGTACGATTAGTTTAAACGACTTGGATTATTATTCCATACTATTGGTGGCAAATATATATCATCCAATGCAAACACCAGGTCATACAATATTATTTGTTCAAATCATCCTATACGATTTGATTGGATCAATTAATCCAAAATCTTTCCACTAATTATAGAATTATTTTATGCAAGATTTAATTATATTATATAGTATGATATCTATCGTACGGTACGATTATAACAAAATTTTAATTTCAAAATATTGCATATATTATGATTGGCGGTTGAGATATTAATTTCAATTGATTGTTCTGTACGATTGAGATTGTATAGTAAGATTAGTTCAAATCATGACTTTAATTATCATAATTAGCCGCTATAATGATTTTTCAAATAGATGAGTGTGCAATACGATATGAATCTTACTGTACGATTAGTTCAGAAAATTACACTTATAGTTTTCTTACTATCTCACTCCCTTGAGTGTGTGTGCACCATCATCAAGTTTAACATCCACCAGTCCAAAGATATGACTTGACTCAAGAAATCTAGAAATAAGCAAAAGAAACTCAAGAAATCTAGAAAAAAAAAAAAAAAAAAAAAAAAGACTCTTCAAGACACTTAACCCTATTCTACCAAGTCTTGAGATGATTAATTTGCATAATGTACGATGGACCTGAAATGTTAATGCACAAGAAAACATAGATGCAATAATAACATTAATAGGAGATAGCATAGCAGAGAATCTAATAATATTTATTATCATCAAAATTACAAGGTATGGATCCAGATTTTCAACAATATTCAGAATAATGTGGGGCAGAAAATAAATTATATGTGGTAAGGAAAAGTTATATATTAAAGAAAAAATAATTAAATCAATTATTTTAATTCTTAAATGACCTAGATGATCATAATTTAAAATTTTTTCCTACAAGAAATATTAACCTAAAAATTAAATTACTACTATGTAATATTTGAGCGTTACGTACTCGGTCATATTCAGCAATAATAAAGTTAATACATTATTCTTCGATTCATTCATCGCACTCAATAATCAAATAAGAGTGGAAATTATACTATTTTGGCACCGATGACTCACAAATCAGGAGCATATATAAAGATAATAAATTCGCATACCTAAAAAAAGGAAAAATATTGATCGATGTGCATATTAAAAAATAAATAAAATAAACTGTATGAGACGATGATAAAAACTGTAATGTGATTGGCAATGACGCTCAACCTGCCACTATTCACAAAATTTCAAAATATATATATATATTCAACAATTATGATTGAAAATCTTGTTGCAATATTTTTGGCAATCTAAATTACTGAATATATATTTCCAAATATATCGCAAGCAATGCCGGCCGATAGGGTTATAAAGTAGAGCACAGCAATCCAAAGTGTCGGTTGTTTATATTCAGTTCTCCACTCTGAACCATCAAATTCTTCTACTAAGATCTCTTTTGGTTCCTCCCCACTTTTTTTTTTTTTTTTAAACGGAGGTATTAGAACGGGTAAATAGAATTTTTTTTCTTTTTAGATCGGCAGAAATATAAAGGTATAGGAAAAAAATCTTGTTAACAAACAGCAAAGCAATAACTTTTTTCACGGATGCAAACCGGAAACAGAGTAGTTAAGCCCAAACAAAAGCTTTCTGCTTAAAGTTATCTGCAGGAAGGAGATGGGTTATTTTGATCCTAACTTCTACTCTCTTGAAGAATACACCGTCTCTCCACCAACGTAATTTTTTTTTTTTTTTTGAAAGAAAAAAAATAAAATTGTTTTTTAATTGACTTAAACAGTGATATATTATTCAGTTGATTAATTATTAGACTTAATTTTGGGTATTGCTGCAGGGTGTCTGTTGATAATGATACTTATCCAGATCATACAGTTGTTAAGGTACTGAAAGCTGATATATTACTGTACATCACTGCATATATATTGACATTACATATAACGCTTGCATGGCCAATTACTTTGCATGCAGGTGAACGGTGCGAACAGGCATGGAATACTGCTTGACATAGTTCAGGCCATCACCGATCTCGACCTCATCATCTCCAAATCCACCGTCTCAGCCGATGGGGAATGGATCATGAATGGTACACTATTTAATACATTATACTATGCATACCTTCATGCATGGATCATGCATGCATGATGGATATAAAATGAGATTCAATTAGAATATTAATATATTATGATCTTCATAATTAATTAATTAACATCGATCGATCGATCACAGTATTCCACGTGACGGATGAACTCGGCAACAAAATGACGGACCCGGCGCACATCCGCTACATAGAACAGTCATTGATGTTCGCCGAAAGGCGCGGAGGAGGAAGCGGCCGTCCGCCGGATGAGGTGACGACATGCCTGAACAACCTGCTCGGTGCAGGCCACCTTTCCTCCGAACACGCAGTGCTCGAAATGACGGTAACCGACCACCCCGGCCTTCTCTCCGAGGTGTTGGCTACGCTCCTCGATTTCTCCTTTGAGGTTAACTCAGCCGTAGCATGGGCGCACAATGGCCGCGCTGGTTTCATTTTCCACGGCCCGAATTCGCGTGCCCCGACGACCGGGTTGAAGGTGCAATTGAGGCGTGTGGTTGAAGCCCATTGTATTAGGGGTATTGAGAAATGGCAGTTGGAGATTTCGGGGCCGTCGCCTGATCGTGCGCACAGTGCTGAGCGACGGCTTCATCAGATAATGCGAGAGGACAATGACTGGGAGGGGATGGCCGGAAGGACTGATTTTCCATTGGCATCAGAAGCTGTTGTGACGGCTGTGGAGATGGAGGTGTCGGTGAGAAATAATTACATGGTGGAGGTGAATGTGAGGAGTAGGGACCGTCCAAAGCTGGTTTTTGATGTGGTGTGCACGCTGCAGGACTTGGATTATGACGTGGTTCATGCCTCTGTTAGCACGGAAGAAACCATTGCTGTTCAGGAATACTACATCAAGAAAAGGGGTGGTTGGTCGAGGCTGACGGAGATGGAGAAGGGGAAGCTCGTCGAGTGCCTCATGGCGGCTATAGAACGAAGGCCGGGGCCTTGGTGGATGAGACTGGAGGTGCGAGTTCTCGAGTACCGAGACAGTTTGTTATGGGAGATCACGAGGGTCATACGGGAGAATGGAATGTTGGTGCTGGGGGCTAAGTGGGACAAGAAGGGAGAATTGGCTGCTGGTATTTTTTATGTCAAGGGGGGCTCATCGAGCGGGAATGTGGCTCGCCGGCTGATCCGGTGGTTGCGCAACGAGATCGGCGGTTGCGATTTTGAAATAAAAGAATCCAATAATTCATGAAGACGGTGGTGGTTCGGATGTATCTTGATTTTTTTTCTTGTTTTTAAGGCTAATTCGTTATGATGAACATGAATTTTAATTGTAATAAATAATAGTTGAAGAAAATTTTCAATGCGAGAATAACCATTAACTAGCTTTCTTTACAGAAGAAGGAAATGCATATTTTTAATTTTATGGGGAATAAAATGCAAACATACCAATTCAATCAAACAAACAAATCAGATGCTTAATCTGATGAAAGTTTGGAGCCATTTCTGCTGTAAGTTTGCTTTGAAAAGCAGTCATCTTCCTCCTCCAGATCACTAAAAGAGATGTCTTCCTCATCACAAGCAAGGACTGCAGCCATCCCAGCTGCATTGTTCTCATCTTCGGGCCACTCATCATCATCATCTAAATTTTCAACTACCATTTCCTTAACCTGCTTCCGTAAATATGGTTCTTCGTTTACAACAAATTTATCGACGAACTCGGCCTCCGAAGCAGCTGGTATAGAATGCTTCTCCATCTCAAAATTATCTAGTGAATTAAAGCCATCTTCTGCAGCCCTAAATGACGAATGCCGCCAAAAGTCATCCGATCCTTGTTTTACTTGGCTCTGTAAGCCATGCTGTAATATCGCTCTGGCTTTCACAATCTGCAAGATCAGAATTGCCAGGAAAAAATATATATATATATATATATATATTAAAACACAAAATGAGATGCAAGAGAGGATGACAAAAACTATTATGTGATCGATAATGACCGCGAATATGTCTATAACAAATTTTTTGTAGTTACACGCATTCAATTTAATCTTCAACATGTACTAGCATGATCATGAATAATCAACTGAATGATTTTTTGTAAACCACAAAAAAAGTTATTAAAGAAAATTATCGGTACTGGGACAAGTCAAAACAATCGATGGAGATCATCCTTCTAATAACACTCAAGCTTCTTGAGCAAACCTACTCTCATGCATCCTCCACTCTACAAACTTGAAATTTTTACTAATAAGGTTTCTAATACCACAAGTTCTTTGTTTTCCTATTATGTAACTAAGAGATTATCAGCCTTTGATTGAATGGAGGGGATTATAAATCCTTTCTCTCTTTTGGTTCCAATTGACCTACTTGTTCAAGAAAAATATCTATGATGAACTTTGATGCCTCTTTTCTAAGAAGAATTTATGGAAAGCACAATAAACTCAGTCAATAATGCAAGTGTAATGAAAGAACTCTCTTGTTGGATCTAAGACCATGCATTCTCCATTGATTCAAAATGTTGATAATTGCTCTTAGGTTCGCCAATTCTTATGAACAGGCAATGTAAAGCATACATCAAGTCAATGAAATAGTTCTTAGCTCTATGTTCCTTGTACTGTTCAAGAGGCAATCATGTCATGGATTTTCTCCAATAGTGAATTGTCTTCCGCAAGTGAATCACTCAATTTCATTAGAGCAAAGGATGCATGGAGGTAGGTTGGCTTGAAAACTCAACATTTCATGTAATCTTTATATATATAAAGATTACATCAAATGAAGTTTAACATCCCAAATCAAGCTAATGAATGAAATGAAATACTTAAATAATGATGCCTTAGAAAAAATAGAATGAAAAATGGCTATGAAATGAGCTTTCTAAGATAATTATCATAATTTTGTTGATGCAGGAGTCCTTGTCCATAAAATTTTATACCTGGAAGTTTAATGGTTTGAATTACTAGAAACGAGCACTAGTATGTAAGCATGACCACTATGATCAAATCAAAGGCCTCTCCTGAAGGGAGAAGATAGATGACGATAGTGGCCTCCCCTGACCAAGTTAGATCTATGCTAAGGCCTAAGGGGAAGGAAAATGGCCATCTCTTCACCAAGTCCCATAGGCTGCCGGAAGCTCACATGCAACGTCATACTAGAATTCAATGAATTTTCAGCAGTCACCATAGCTGAGACATAAGTACCATCCACCTACTCCTCTAAGCTCAATAATGGTTGCTATAGAAAGTAAAATATATATATTTTGACTTTTATTATTTAATTTTATAAAAAATATAAAAGTATTTATAGACTTCTCCAAAAAAAATTTAATAAAACTAAATCAAAGTTATTTAAAAAAAAAAAACCCTAAGAGAGGCCGGCGGTTAAAATAGGAAGTGGAAGCACATGGATTAAAATCTAAGGGCTATAAGAAGATCAATCCAAATGTTAAAATCCTATACCTGTGTGCTCAAGGATCCCAATCAATATTAATTAACTTGTGGGTCCCACGGTCTTTCAATAGTTGCAAAACATCCATGGAACATTAACATAATTTTTCTTGGGAGTTCCGTAGCTTATGGTAGCATCCAACAAGGCTTTGCAATCTGAAGGTTAGCATGTGAGAGCAGATGGGTAGGAGATGCTGAAGAAGGTAGGAGAGAGATGCATCCATTTTATAGCTTGATTCTATAAACAAGGCATCCCACATCTCTACCCATTCCATACTTTTGAGCAACTAAGAGGAATTGAAGAAGGTAGGAGAGAGATGCATCCATTTTGTAACTTTCTTTTATAAACAAAGCATCCCACCTCTACCCATTTCATACTTTTGACCAACTAAGAGGAAGACTAGAAGCCCTACTTGGGAAAAATGATCCAAGACTGCTTTCCAGTTCTACCATTCTATTAAGCAAAACTAGATTGAAAGTTTTTAGCTACGTATCGTCCTATTCTACAACTCAATTATACTATGGTATCATCCCAAAAAGCTTCAAAAGATAAGCAATTCTTCCTAACTCAAATATAATACCATCTTTTCAAGTATAATGCATGTATTGGATGCCACGAGTTTTTATAAAGTTCACATATGTAGAAGCTACCATTTTCACATCAATCATAAGATTGAACCTATTCTACAATAAAAAGAAACTCATTAAACAAGCTACAACTCCTAAAATTTTGAAATAGTCATTCTGATTAACTAAAGGTTAAAAAATCTGTGCAAGATCCATAGCTTAGCCGGTTATAAGTCCAAACTCTCTAAAGATGCATGATGGTCATTCGATGTCATAGTTTGAAAGCATCTAGCATAACAGAAAGGCTTATGAAGATGGATATTATCATATTATTTAAGAATTCTAAAATTATTTGTAATTGTTGAGCAATACGAGGTGAAAAAAAATCCAAACAAACTACATCGATGTCAATTGTATTACCTTTATACCATACATTCCATTTGGTTTGGATGTTAATTGTTGACCCTTCCCGTATCCAAACAAAAAAAAAAAGAAAAAAAATCAAATCCCGCTTACCTGCTCTCTGCCATCGCACGTCGTTCGCACGTCGCAGCCACGACCGAAGTCGCATCCTTGCACGTCGTCGACACGACACTCTCGCGTCGTTAAAAGGGCAAAGGAATGAGGCCTTCGGCCTCTTCCTCACTCTCCTCACGCGATCCCGAGCTCTCTTCTCCCGCTCCAACTCTCCCCCGACGACTTTCCCTGACTGTCGGGTCGGAACTCCGACTTTTGATCGGAAACGAGAGCAGAAGCCCGTCAGTCGCCGCTTCTCTGGTGCTTCTGTGGCCGTTCGACTTAGCTCCTGCGATCGACGTTCCCTTTTTTGTCGAAAGGGAAGTTGCGACATTTTGATCGGGTGTAAGAACGGGAGCTCACCGACCGTGGCCTCCTCAGGCTCCTTTAGGTTGTTCGACTTTGCTCCTCCGTCTGCTCTCCCCTCTCTCCGATCGGAAGCATCAACAGGAGCTCGCGGGCTGTAAGGGTAACTTTCTCCCTTTCGTATGCTTCATTCGGCCAAATCCCGTAATCACTAATCGAGAGAGAGTGAGGGAGAGATATCTTGATTTTATTTATTAATTTTAATTATAATTGATTTAATAATTATTATTTTATTATAATTAATTATTAATTATATAGATTATAATTAATTATAATTAAATATAGTTAATTATTATTAATAATATTTAACTGAT